GATCTTGTCTTAAATCCCAGATTGGTGTTTTATTGCAAGACAGACTGTTCGACTGACCGTCGGTCGTAACTTAACTTTGACTTTGACTTTGCGTGGGGCAGTTGAATTCCGAAGTTGAAGTTCGAAGTCACATTGCTGCTGACGGTCAGTCAGTCAGTCTTGGTATCGAGCTCCATCTGCGGCCCATGACCAGATATTTATTAGTGTTTGACAGTTACGGTCTTGTTATTGTAGGGCACCCTCTCTGAGGAGAGGACAGGTCTGTCTTTTGCCAGAGTCGAGTTGAGTTTCGAAAATTTCCGTGTCTGTTATTAAACTTCGGCGCGGACCACTCAGAGAGAACACAGCCCCCATACTGTTGCGTGGCTCAGACAACATAGAAAATACAGCTTCCTACAGTGTTGCGTGACGCCTCTGTTGGGGTTACCACGCGATTGCCATCCAGTCAGTTCATTGACGCGCTAATGTCAACTAGCTGTAACATTTGTTCACTGAGAACACAGCTTCCATTGTTGCGTGTGGAACATTTTTACAGAACAGTTGCTCTAGCAATGAGTCACAATACATTATCCAGAAATAATGTACGAACATAATCCAGTCTTTAAAAATTATAATGCATTCTAAATTTAAGTGAAATTACTTAAGTAATACTGCAGGAAATTGTATTTGAATAATAAAATCACAGTACAACCTTTTCACGAACAATGTTTCTAGAAGTTATGGTTAATTTCAAAATATGTTTCAGTCACTAGAATATTATCAGTATGTCATAAGAACAAGTTCCGAGAATAACCGTCACAGACATGTGTCAAAACTTTGTTTTTATATCCTACTCACACACTACATGTTTCGTACACAAAACGCCCATCATCATGTTCAAAACACAAACATACTGAAGTCCTCGCTTCAATGATTTTTTTTTATAATCTGCAGCATTACAGCTTAGATTTGTAATCCGTTGCGTTTTGCACCTGATGATGACAGTTTTGCCGTGAAGCACGTATTGAAAATATGGACAAAGGAGGGATATTACCATATAAAATTGTCAAAAGAAACTGCGACCACTGGACGTGATGTGTCAGAAGAAATGTTCATGCTTTTTTCAAGCATCCGTTTGTGACATTAACACTGTCAATGAATGGAGTGTGTGGACTGCTCTAGAACAATGATTCTCAGCCCTATACATCTTCCGTTCTAGAGCCTGTTTTCTTTGAAGGAACCGATACTCAAGCCTTAGCAAATTTTCTCATATTCAAAGAGGCGTCTTTTAGAAGTTGGTTATATTTTTGTACTATATTAATTATTATTAACAAATATTAACAGGAAACTGTTCGGGATGCCCGGTAGCGTAGTTGGTTGAGGCACTACGCTACAAGCCGGAAGGTCGCAGGTTCGATTTTCGATGAGGTCATTGGATTTTTTTTCAATTTACCTAATCTTCCCAGCCTNCCACGATGTCATTGGATTTTTTTTTTTCAATTTACCTAATCTTCCCAGCCTCATTATGGCCCTGGGTTCAACTCCGCCTCTAACAGAAATGAGTACCAGGAATATTCCTGAGAGGAAATGGCTGACCTCTCGTAAGTCTAACAATTTCACCGCTATCTGCGAGCCGATTGTCTACAAAATGTGGAAGCCTCGACGTCTCACAGCCCTATGGGCCTTCATGGTCTGTTACAGGATAGCTTTATTTACTTAAAAAGGGGAACTGTTTATTTTGTGCTTTATGTTATGATTTCAGCAGCTCAAAATATACAGCTGCGAATGGTAGGGTAATCAACAAGACTCGCAGCTAAGAAGGGAACACACATCACAAGACACGGTTTACACAGAATATAAGAAAAACGACCCCCACAGTGGAACCACACGCAAGTTTTAATTAGGACACATAAGATGAATGGTTTTAGCAAGTTTTGGTGTGTGTAAATTTATTATAGTTGACGAATACGCGCTTTTTAAATAGGTTCATAAAGACATATAAAGGCAAGCAATGCAATAGATTAGCGAAATTTGGGCACCTGATGATGGCACTATGTTGCCGAAACATGTCGTGAAGTAACAGGTGAAATTGAGTGCACTACAAGACGGCAACTGTATACATATCATGGATGAAAATCAGTGCAACAGGACGCTAAAATACAACAACAGGGCAAATGATGATTGAGAAACTGGATAATATTTGGAAGGAAGAGGTCGTGACCTAATTTAAGATACTATCTAGATATTTATCAGTAGGAACTGAGGTAAAACACGGAAATGTCACGCAGGGCAGTCAGTGCCCCAACGAAAATACAAATTAGAAGCTTTACGTTTGAGCCAATTCATTTGATTTTAACAGAAATTCTAATTTTCGAGACCTCACATCTCATCTAGACGGCCAGTTCCCTCTGGTGGAGTGCGTCCCACTAGTTGAGAAACACTGCTCCAGTACTTCTGATATTTTACGTTTTATCATCGCAAGTCGGTTGGATTCTGGACTCTGCAGATTGTGCTTGCATACGCTTTATCTCGTGACCTTGTCGGCATGCCTCCCTGAGCTCAACCTTAGCCTTTCGTGTTCACAGATCGGAAGTTTTGTTGTAGTTTAAATTTACTTGTGTCAGCAAAAGCTGAATATTGAGTGCTGAAGCAGGTGGAACCACTGTGACTTAAAGGGTTATTGAACTAGTTCATCACTGATCACGGTGGCCGTGCGGTCTAAGGCCAATCCAGTGACTGAGATTAGCTCTTTCTAAGGGGCCCAACTGAGTAGGTGTCTTCCTTTCTCACCTGAAGACGGAAACAGATCCAGTTTCCGAAACGTCGTGTCCTATATTACCTAGAATTCCGGACAATGGGTAAAACCCCAAAACCCAGTAATTCTATGGGTTATCCACCATCGTCAGAACCCTTTAGAACCTACAGCCGACTGATGAAATGTATTCTTAGCAGACACGTTCAGAGGAAGCAAGTATAAACGGCAAAATTAAGATCAAGGTGACCTCTACTCCTAAAGTAAACAAACATTAAATTCATATGCACCTATTCACTGTTATGTGATAATATTTATTGCAATTGGCGAACACGAAAATATATATGCCTACTGAATAAATAACAGAAGGAAAGAGACCACTGGGAAGACCAAGGCGTAGGTTGGTGGACTATAATAAAATGGAACTTAGAGAGATAGAATGGGATGGTATGGATTGGATTGATCTGGCTCAGGATATGGACCAGTGGAGGGCTCTTGTGAACACGGCAATGAATTTTCGGGTTCCATAAAATACTGGGAAGTTCTTGAGGAGCTGCAGGTTTGGCTTCTCCTCAAGAAGGGCTCAGCTCCGTAAGTAAGTAAGTAAGTAAGTAAGTAAGTAAGTAAGTAAGTAAGTAAGTAAGTAAGTAAGTTGAATGAATAAACAACCAACATTGCAGCTTCAAATTTCACTGTTGTTTCGCATTCTAAAATAAAATATGTACACATTTTTAATATATATGTGCAAAGACTTACTGAAATAGAGCACTTTATTATAAGAATACAATAATTCTGATCTTAAAGCAATACAAATTCAATTATGTATTATGTATTTTCCTTTTTAGNTAAAGGGTTAGAGCATGAATCCGGTTTCTTTATTGCCACACTTTGTATTTTTTTCGAAAAATTTATGAGCTATGGAGAAATTACACTGGACATAAAATATATGCTTCATTTTTCGATACGAGTTTCGATGGGACACTTCTCTGTCTCGTGTATATATATATACAGAGTTATGGACCGAAATGCGCGTAGGTCTTAATGTCAAATCGAAGCAATGTGGGCCCTGTATAAATGAAATTTAAAATAAATCATTAGTTTTTTGTAAACATTTCCAATATCAAATTCCATGAAACTCTTTCCAGCGGTTTTCTTGTTGTTTAATGTGTTCAGAGCGAACGAACTGACGGACGGATAGATGGATAGATGGATAGACGGATAGACGGACAGACGGACAGAGTGAACTCCCAAGGGCTGCAAACTCGCGTAAAAATGGCAGATCATGCATGGGAATAAGAAAGTAGAGTTATCCCTATAACAGGCCGTAAAGGCCCAGAGGGTTGTGAGACGTCGAGACTCCCACATTTTCTAGATAATATGGTGACTGATGGCGATAAGGTTGTCACCCTTACGCCCCGGCCTCACTTAACCCCCAAGAAGATTCCTGTTATTCATGCTTTTTAGAGCCTGAGTCGAACCCAGGGCCATAGTGCGAGTGGAAGTATTAGGTAAATTGAAAAATCCAATTACTTCACCGGGAATTGAACTCACGACCTTCCGGCTTGTAGCACAGCGCCTCAACCAACCACGCTACCGCGAGCTTCCTATGTGCGAATAATTTTCTTAATTAAGGTGAGTGCAAAGGAAATTCTGAATATCGGCCTATTCCTAAATATTTCAGCTGCTAAAATGTCGTTACGTGTGGCGATGTACGAAGCACATGGTGGAGTCTGAAAGTACTAATTAATTTTAACATTACGTTACCCTCTGCGATTAAGAGACATTACTCAGCCTTCAATGTTACACATATGCCAGTTTTTGTGTCTTTAAATTCGACTTGTGGGAACGCGAATGGCGAGGGAAGGGATTGGCGTGGTTCAGCTTCTTGTTATCGTCTCAGTTCGCAGTTGGGTACGCCTGGTGTTTATGTTCTAATTTTTGGAAATTTCAAATTCCATATACCACAGGAAATTGCCATTTTGCAGCATCTTAAATATAGTTCCATTATGACGGGGCATTAAAACGAAATCAAGGGCGTGTCTTATGATCGACGGCGTATTTGAGTTGAGGAAATCTAATACGTGAAATCGTTAAAGTTTCGTGAGACATCGAGGATCCCACATTCTCTAGACAATCGGCTTACTGATGGCGATGAGGTTGTTAGTCTTACGCGCCGGCCGCCCTTTACCCCCAAGAATATTCCAAGAATACTGCTGGTACTCATTTCTGTTAGAGGCTGAGTCAATTCCAGGGCCATAGTGCAGTTGGAACGATTACATCAATTGAGAAACTCGATGACCTCATCAAGATCATGCGAAATCGCTTAAGGAAGGCTATACTGTTACGTTCGAACTTTGTATTCAGTGGGGGAACAGCGAGCAGGGTACAACGCCATGGAGTTTGGGCTTCAGTGACTAACGAAGGTAAAGTTGTTACTGTACCACGTCATGGGGGTGTCGGGGGGAGGCAAATTTCACTCATTCTTACATTCATAATTTGTTAAAATTTGTGAATCCTCTCCTGTCGCTTTGCCCCTAGTACAATTAGCCAGGGTCTCGCTTACCCCTATCGGGTTTCGAACCCGATCGCCCATTCCGGAAATGATCATTTTTACTACTTGAGACATTCCTTGGAAAGAATTTTCTTTCCAGAAAATGTTTATATTTTTATAAAAAGACAGTTGTAATAATCACTCCTTGATTTTATTTAGAATAGTAATTCGAAAAATAAAAATTTAAATGGATGGATTTCCCAGCTCCTGGATAGAAACTATTATTTCAGGTTTTAAATCAATGTGGGTGTTACCTGTTATAGCACATTTACACGCGTTTCACTCGTACAGTGAATTCGTTTGTTTCTTACGAGTCTTAAATAAATAATAAATAGCGTTTATTTCCCTAAACAGGCTGATACTTACAATGGAGGCCCAGTGTATGTTTCTGTCAGCCATAACCCAACTATGAAATATTACTTAGATGGATGTCATCATTTAAACGGACAAATCCTTTGCTTTCAGACAAAATAGTGTTCAGTTTACGCAGTTTTAACAGAAAATTATATTTGATTCATACTGGACCCTTGTGTTCTGTGGAATAACACTGTGGAGACCAGTGGTGTACTTTGAGACTCTACGCTTTTGTTGAATATCCAGAGCAGAGTTCTATAACAGATAACATTTATTTACTAGATGCAACTACTGATAGTTTCCGGCACAGTCTGTTGTATGCCAACAACAAAAGGATTTTCGTATTTCATCTCTCCATTCGTGTTCCAAGTCTGCATCAGAGCTGCAACTGTCACAACTCACATTGGCCACAAGGTATGTGTGCAAAAAAGAGATTTGATACTCATTTTAAATATTGTGCTTGGTAACGACTCTTAGACTCCATAGTTGTGGCCTCTTGCCAAAGCAGCGTTCAAACCTGAGTGGCGATCTGCCTCTCTAATGAGTAACTCACATAAAAATGAAGACTGGATTCTTATATACTAAAATTCTATTCATAAAGGTTATAATTTTCTCTGCAGATTTATATGATTGTGAGCTATTTATATTCCGTGTACATAATTAAGAGCACTTATTATCCTAAAGTAACAGCCACAATAACATATGTTACTATTATTATAAACTGAAAAGTTAAACTCTCTTCGCGATACGTTACTTGGTTCCATATTTATATTGTGTTATCTAGATCAACTGTTGATTTCATATTAGGGAAGTTCTCGTCCAAATTTCTTGCGTTTCTGGTGTAGCACAACCTTCCATCTTGGGCTTCCCTTTCATCAATACGATGGAAAGTCAGTAAATAGGTCACAGATGGATATAAATCGTTAAAACATGTGATCTTCGAAACTGGAATATCGACATGTCCTCTACATTTGTCCTATCGCTTCACTAGTGCGTCGAAGCCCGTATCATTGTTGTCCATTGATTGTTGTCTCAGCTGCTTCCGCATCTATGTTTCAACCTCTTCGTCGTCATCGAGAAATTTTCCACCAATGTGTTATTTTAGTGGAACAGATGGAAGTCATTAGGGGCCTAGTCCGGAATCTTAAGGCGATTGTTCAAGATGTTTTCACTGTAGTTGTTGAATTCTCTCCTGTGTTGCTCGGGCTGTATGGGGTCTGGCATTTTCATGATGAAGCAGTACCCTCCTCCCAGTTGGCCTGGAGGTTTTCTGCGAGTTGCATCCCGAACCTTCAGCAGAACTTCACAGTACGATGCACAATTCACATTCTCCCAGTGCTTATGTAACTGGGCTAACAGTACTCCCTGAGAATCCCAAAACGGTAAGCTTCAACTTCCCAGCTGATGACGTAACCTTAAACTTCGGACTTTTTATTTGAATGTGATCTGAGATGTATCCAGTGCACTGAAGCGCGCTTTGATTCGGGTTGGTAGTGATGCACCCATGATTCGTCCCCAGTAACTGTCCTCTTAAGCATATGTCCTCCTTCATCTGTCTACCGCAAGGGATGTTGCAAGGACAGACCCATTCGGTTTATTTCTTTCTCGATCCTTCAGTTCTCTGGGCGCCAGCCCTGCGCACACTTCCCGAAACTTCAGACGAACCTGCGCTGTGCTGTATGCTAAACCATGGGAACACCCTAGTGCAGTTACTGTACTGCCTGTCGTTATCCTCCCGTCAGCTCGAATCAACTCTTCCACCCGCTGCACAGTGGCTTCTGTTGCAATCTCAACAGGGAGACCAGGTCGGGTATCATCTGTGACTTCAAACGTCCTTGAGATAATTTCTCGACCAAGTTGTGAACCGCTTTGCGCGACAAGCACTTCCCACTGTAAACAGCAAACATTTCTTTATGGATATCCTTTGCTTTGAGTACTTTCGCTCACAAACTATTCACAGTAGAACGATACTCCTCATGCATGGTCGCCATTTTGACTACTGAAACCAGCATCTGAACATGCGCATTCGAGTCTAATACCTAGACTGTCATGAAGATGGACTGCTCTACTGTGTAATGATACATATAGAAAACTTCTTACGTCCATTACGGCTGTTTTACTTCCGTTTGTGATCTATTTACTGACTCTCTCCCTACATGCTTAAAAGGACATCATCAAGCTGGTATTACTTTCATGAAATGTTTGCTTGTAAAATGCCAATGCTTTCAGCAAGCACCGTAATAAATTAATTGAATTGAATTATCATGTAACTATTATTATTTATTTTATTAAGAGCTATGATAGTCGATGTAGTGACTATGCAAGGCCTCGGCGGTCGGGTAAGTGGGGTTCCTTTCCACGCAGCGCCCCAACAGGGGTTGGGGCCTACCTAGCCTCCTATTTAACGGGCAACGGATGCTATTTTCCCCGGAACCTAATTCAGCAGAGACGCAAAGATGACTGTTCACCTTCATATAATGGACGGAGCTACAATGCCCATCCCTCGTATGTTTTCATGGCTTAAACCACTTTGACAGTTCCGCAGGTATTTCTTCAGGAACCATGAACTTACTTTCCATATAGCAGCTATAAATGCAATGAACTATGAAATCTGACTAAATATTCTTTAAAATTTAGTCAGTACCCTACAGAGAACTCGCTGCTTCTCCTTTACAACTACAAACTGGCTCGTGCTGTTCAGGGCAATATTCGCTCCTTATTCTGGGAATTATATAAAAAAATCATAAATATTCTCTGAGGGTAAAATTAGGAGATTTTAATACCAGAACAGATGGTATAAATTTTTACCTCTGTGCATCAAAAGCTAACTTTGGTGATAAAGATCACCTTGTGGTGTTGCATGAAGACATACAAATTTTTATACGACAAGAATAATTTTCTTAAGGTTCGGCCACACAGGGCGCTACGTACGCTATGTTCCCTATGTTAGCTGCGTCGCAGAGTGTACACAGCGTACGTAGCGTACGTGTCGAACATAGCGTAGCGCTCTGTGTGGCCGAACCTTTAAACACTGATTATTCAAGACGTACGAAGACATTCCCGCTACTGTTTCTATGGCCGACTTAACTATCAGATCTTCCAATATCAATGCATACAGCGAGTTATACTCGTAAAACTCTTCCTATTTTGTTTAAGCTTAAGTCGGCAGATCTAGGTTTGTGGTTCTCTTTCCGACCCATTTTTAATTTCTGTTTTGGATTCGAAGTTTACAGGTACATCCATCACACGCTCTTGCATATTCAGGATTAATTTTAATATTATCATGAGAAACAGTAAATGTGATTTTGGCTTCAATATTTCAGATAAATGCATTTATGGGAATCCGGTATGTCTTCTTGTGCCAAATTCACTAGACATACGAGTATCTCTACCGATTAACACTTTCACTATATTCTGACACTGCTGTTTACTGGGATTGCTCCGACAGCAATAGGCATCTTATTTGTTTCTTACTGCTATTATGTACGACGATAGGCCTATATCTCGTCGAATAGGAAAAAATAGTCAGTCCATAATCACAGTTTTATCCTAGTCCACTTTAATTTATATATATTTTCCTCGACCTCAAGTGGTTGACAATTTGTAGTTTGGTCAAGAGCAGTTATTCCCTAATTCACATTGTGTGTGCCGCTTGTTGAGGTGGAATTTGGCAAACTTATTTCACCTACTAGTAAAGTTTACTGTGCTTAGCATATAGCTTAAGGGGACTGAGCATAAGAACAAATTCCTCGCCCTGAATATTGTTGCTGAAACATGGATGTAAAATTATCACTCATATCGAAAAACTGTAGGACATAAACTGTTTCAGTAGATTTAAGTACCATACTGAGTACGCAAATAAACAACTAAATTGAACTGAATTTTAATATTATTATTTTAACCGAAAAGTCCAAAACTCCAATATTAATATCACTTGGTACCCTTGTCCACAGGCTACGTGGAAACCATGACATTCAGAGCACTCCATCTGCTGGCCTTCCTTACGTCTGTAGTAAGAGTGTCGAAAGCTGATACGGAGTTCCCAGCATCAAACGAAGTTCCTCTTCCTCGAACAGATGTTTTGTCACACGCTTTGTCAGCGGCACAGACAAGGCTGTCAGAGCTCATCCTATCAAACCCAGTTATCAAGATTGTGAGTCATGGGTCACCAACCATAGCGCTTGATGATGCAAATTTAGAAGTGGACAACATTGCGTTAGTCCACCTCACAAACCTTCAACTACGATCTTCACCTTTTCATATGATGTCAGCTGTACCAGATCTGCGCCTCATGGGTCTGAGTTTATATGGAAGTATAAGAATGTTGGAAGTTACAGGAAATTACACCATATCCGTGGAGGTTATGAAACATACTTCTATGGCACTGATAACGTCTGACAGGGGTAGCCTTAATTTAACGTTTGAGAACATGGAAATATCAGGACTGGTTGGTCTGAATTTCAGCGAGAATAAGCTGCAATTTCACACAGTAGATCTTCTTTACAGACCAAATCTCGTTTCCTTACGGATCTTCTACAAAGATGTCCGAGGTGTTCCACGTGTGACAGAGGAGAGGAGTAGCAGCCTTCACGGCAGAGTGGAAGAGCCGATATACACAGACTTGGCAAAGAGGCTGAACAGCCTCATACAAGAGGAGCTGAACAAGCTGTTCAGAAATGTCACGATTGCACAACTAATGGATGGCAAGTCAGGAACTGAAATAAGTTTTAAATCTAGTAAAAATGCCCGAATAGGAAATTTAAATGATTTCATAAACTGCATATTAAATATTACGAAAGAGAATATTACAGACCAGATTAGTATCCCTGACTTTGAGAATTCATTTGAAAAGAAATTAGGTTTAGTTACAATCCGTGGAAATTTCAAGGCTGAAGGTGGATGGCTGAAGGGTCTGGAGACAATTCATCGAACTGCTGACGTCACTCTGAAACAACTGAACAACAGCATAGAGTTCAGCGCGGCCATGGGACTAAGGACACTGGAGTTTGGATACGCAAGGTACTTAAGAAATTATAGTATGATTGTGAGAGCAACAATTATACCGAGAAAAATGTTTAAGAATTATAATAATAGAGCTCCTACAGACTCAAATGAAACTAACACACATTGTGCACAACTATACAGAAGCATTCTTATAAATGTTTTTATTAAATTCGTTTGACTCGTTACACATAAAGGGTTTTACATTTTGAATATATATAGGAATTATGTCAACCGTCAACACAACAAATAACTCTTTTCCAAGTATAATTAGAATGATCACATCAAGGAGGATGAGGTGGGCAGGGCATATAGCACGAATGGGGGAGAAGAGGAATGCATATAGGATATTGGTGGGAAAGCCAGAAGGAAAGAGACCACTGGGAAGACCAAGAAGTAGGTGGGTGGACAATATTAAAATGGATCTTAGAGAGATAGGATGGGATGGTATGGATTGGATTGGTCTGGCTCAGGATAGGGAGCAGTGGAGGGCTCTTGTGAACACGGTAATGAACATTCGGGTTCTATAATACGCTGGGAAATTCTTGAGTAGCTGCAGATTTGGCTTCTTCTCGAGAAGGGCTCAGCTCCATAAGTAAGTAAGTCAACACAACAAATGTACTCAGTTTAATATTCGATCTTAATTCCTGCTACATGTTTCGGCCATACAAGACCATCAGGCAGTTATATGTAGGAATACGTACATTTATTCAGCTGCCGATATGGGTCTATACGAATGCAACGTGTCGTATTATTTACTGACAAGTATTATTTGCCTCAAGTTTTTGTTACAATTAAAGTAGCAGATACATAGATAAGATAAAAAAATTAATGNATATATAGTTGGATTAGCATTCCAATAAACCACACACTAACAGCCCGTACATAATAGAAACATGTCGTTGATCTCCACAACCGGGCTTACTACGTAGAAAGCTTCTGCAACAAAGACCTACAAACAACACACACACACACACATGCGCGCGCGCACACCGAATTTGCTACACTGTACCAGTGGAACCTTAAATATTTAAGCTGGCATACACATTCTTAACCTACCTTGCGAAAAAATCGTTTAATATTTTTTAAACATTTTAAAATACTTTTAATATTTTTAACATTATATTCAACACATTATAAATCTTGATATATGGTATACTTTTATATTTATCTTTTATTTTTTAACTTATTTATGTATTTGCTACTTTAATTAAAACACCAACTTGAGGTAAAAAAAAATTATGTTAGTATATAATATGGCACGTTGCGCTGGTATGGATCCATCAGTAGTTCAGTAGCTGCACGTACTGTCTGATGATGGTCTTGTACGGCCGAAACAGGTAGCAGGAATAAAGATAGAATTGCAAAACATTAAACTGAGTATATTTGTTGTGTTGACAGTTAACATAATTTCTATATATATATATCTGGAACACACAACAGGATGCAACCAGTGAAGATACATTTTGAATGTTACAAATATGCATTGTCACGCCCTCTTTCAGACTGCAGGATGACGATACCATTAAATTTGTCAGATCTAAAGAACAATCATGAACCTACCCATATTTAGGTCCTTCAGACCGCCATGTTCGGAAACACCGCAAACAGTTAGTGTACACAAACTTCCAATCGCTGCAGTTACTGTAACACAGAACTGATAATGTAGGACCTCTCGTATCACAAGATAACACCCGATCAGCCATCGGCCACTGGAAGGATGTGTTAAAACCACATCCAAGGTAACGGGGGTTCTACTGAATATCAAATTAAATAAGGGAAAACTGCGGCTTAATTACAAATAAAAAAGTGTATTTATAATTTTCAGAATTAATTCTATTTTGTTGTGTAAAGCATCATCCGAAACGGCCATATATTTTAATTCACTTATTTATATCCTACGCTACTAATTTAAATCCCATTAAAAATTTAGACCCATCAATTTTTATAATTTGTATACAAAATAACGCAATATCTTTCTCCGAGCTGTATGTGTGTGCCATAAATTAACCAATTTATATTAAACTTGAGCAAATAACATATTTTTTTCTGGATGTGGTCGCAATATAAAGTGCATAAGCCTAACAATTCGGCTACAACTTTAAACAAGGGCGAACAGACAAAATTAAGAAATAGCAACGTAATTAAAGAGAGTTTGGGAATGCTCATGAGAGCCAAATTCATAAACTTTAGCGCAATAATTGTACATAGCAAGAAAAGCGACGGCTTCCAGACACACATACAAGATTATGAATTAAATTTCATAATATCGTTCGCTGTTCGCTACTAGGTTAGCAACAGCGAAGCAGGGAACGGAAAACTTACATTTCTGTTTATAAGCTACTATAATAGCATTTATAATAATGATGCGTATTGTGTTGTAATTCTAAAACATCCAGATAAAGTATTCACAGTCATTACATGCTAACAGTTACACGAATATTCTCTTTTTTTTTATTTTTTTATTAGCCTCGTATTCTTCGATGCAAATTTAAAATTCAATGTACCTTACATAGGTCTATGAAGTGTATTTCCTTCAACCCCTTGAAAATGTTATCCTGTGTTTGAATTCAGTAAGCTTATTCGTCGACAACTCAGTGGAAAAGCGTCTAGCGACAAAGGGTTTTGCATTCTTTATGCTGGATGAAGATACATTCTTTGCTTTCCACAAAATTGATAATTATTCATTTAGTTTATTTAAATAATTAGTATTACTGGGAGCATAATAACTTTAGTCCCTTTGCACCATGTTGTGAAATGATTTAGTGATATTGAAGCATTAAATATTTTTCCAATATACCCGCAACTGAGAGTAGCCGTGGGAGTTTTTACGTCCGGGTACCATCTGCCCTAGATGCTTACGCGTTTTCAGGTGGTGGACAAATTAGCCTATTTAAGAACAGTTTGTAGGTCTGACCCAGTCTATCAAAGTTATTTAATAAACTTATTCACTATTAATCAAAATAATATTTGAAAATTCAGTTCCTGCTACGTAGACAATATGCAGTGCCTCAATTACAAGACTAAAAACAGTCACTTCTGTTAGGGAAGATCTAGTCGTTTATTATTTGATTCACATTAAGCAAATAAATACACTGTGTGACATCTTTATTGTTAAAAACTGTGATACACGTGTCTCACGATGTCTTTAGAGTTAAAGGAATATTTCTTTCTCAGATACAGAGCAAAACTTTTAAATGTTGGACCAAGCGGTGCGCTGACGGCCTCTGTGGGGAGCAATTCGCTGTCATTTCGAGGCATCGTGGATTACACGGACAGCACCTGCAGAGTGACTTCAGCAGAGGTCAGAGTTATGGACCTTCAGGATATGAAACTGAAACTGACAGGCCTCTCCCCATTCAACTGGATTTTCTCCAAAACAGCTACCTCTGTTACCCGCAGATCCAAGTTCAACGTAGCGAGAGCAATTGAAGAAACTTTTGGAAATCAAATTCGCAACAATCTAAAACAATTTGACTGTCGACAGTATTTTCCTGAATCCACAGTAAAAGCTGTCGATCCTGTTACTGAAAATTCTGAATCTGGACAAAAGGAACTGTAGAAACAGCGCTGAATTCAGGTCGTAACAAATTACAGTCTCCAATAGCAAACAGTTTTAATCCTTTGAAGTATAAAGTTTATCTGAGTAGTGTTTAAAAGTTCACAAAGCACAGAAAACACACTGCGTTTCAATTACAAACATCGATCGTTTGCTGCTGTCAGGGATATAATCGCTGTTTATTCTAAGAATCATACGAAAAACATTCGTACATTACGTTGGCGAACTGCTGTTTAGAAATATAAAGCAGGTTGTAAATACCGTATAGTAACCAATGTGCTCTGAAAGGCTGAAAATAGAAGGATGTACTGTTCGCGATGTAGTATATTATTTGTATTTTAGGATCTGTAAGTGGTTGATACTAAATTACTGCGTGCACAGATATTTTTCTGGCACAGTTACTGAACTATATGAGTAATGCAATAATGCTCCTTGGAGCAGAGTTTTCCTTGTGAAGCTGACAGCCTCTTAAGAAGGAAAATTAAGTCGTGAATTTTCTTAGCGCAAATAATTTTCAGTTTCTTCTCACACCCAGCAGCAACTTATAGGCTCCCTTCCTTAGTCAACAAGGGATATGATATTGTGTAATAAAATTCGGTAATCACAAGTTGAAACGTGAGGTTGTTACGGCGGCAAATTCTAAGATTCTGGTTTTGTAGGCTGTTACGCCGGTTAAGTGTATTAGAAATACATACACATTATTTTCCTTTGGTTAGGGAATCCCTGAGCACGAACCTCCACGGTTCTGCGAATTACAGTTTAAGAACCACTTCAGCACTCGTTATAATTGTTCCTCTCGGCCATAGATGTCAGCAGGAGGTCTCACAATTCTTACCGCTATCTGAAGAATTCTCTTTGAACTAGATCGCAAACCCCTGCAGTCCTCTCCGGCTCTTCCAATGACAAATTTGGAACCTACTCACGTTTTCGTTAGTAGCGATATAGTAAAGTAATTCATATCTAATTAGCAATTAGCTGATGTACATTATGGGACAGATAACTCATATATGCATCTCCAAAGCAGCAAATAAATAAAACTCTGCTGTTAAATGGCAGGTAACACTTTTGTTTCTTATTCGGAAGATCCCGGGTTCAAACGGCGGCCTTGGGAGCGACTATGGGAGCAGATGTTTTTATATGAGTTTTCACAGCCCTCAAATCTTGCCGAGCCCACTTCCTTAAGCATGGCTTCCAATTCTTTATTCATTACTCATCCTGCCGTCCGACACTGTGCAGTGTGTGTGGCGGACAGCTCCGTTAAATAAATAGGCAAATATCATAGCGGAATTGCATATGTTACTAGACGTCTAAACTTTAAATGAAGTGTCTCTAGACGGGGTCTGGTGCCCACTCACCATCCTACAAAATAGTATCAGGTGCTTCTCCCAAAAGGGCAAAGCGGCCGGATCATGAAACTGGGAGCCCACCTTCATCTACAGTGAAAGTTAAGAATGTCTGGAGATTTACCTCCACTTCTGTCATGAAGTGATATTTCAAATTGTATCCTTTAAATGAGTTTCGTAATTGAGTTATGGCACGATATTTTATGAATTTGTATAATTTTCCACCCATTTATTAAAACAATTGGAATTTGAACGAACGGCGGAGTAGAATACGGCATATTTCAAATCCTGGTGACACACACACACACACACGTACATGTATCTTTAAGCTCAGTAAATTTAATTTGTTTCATTCTGTTTTAACCTCTTAGCTCATTATGTCTAATCTGCGACGTGAATAATTATACAGTTCTCTATACCATCATATTTACTTATTTGTTTATTTATGGTGTATTTAACGGGCTTCTAATCAGCTCGGAATATATACCGTCGAATGGGATTATTAATGGCGAAGTGGAACGAATGTAGGTATAAAGAGCCGTGGCTCATTTAAAGTTCTCCCGGCATTCGCCTGGAAGGACTGGGGAAATCTACGAAAACCCTCAATGAGACACTGTTTCGCTGAGGTTCGAATCCGGTGCATTTCAGATTACATGCAGAACAACCGCTTGTGTGAAATTCCTCGAGCTTTTGGATTTTAGTGCATTGGACAGTCCATAGATAGCAGCAGCAACATGATTCGTATCTGGCGCTATCTGCAGGACACTTTATGTACTATGTTCTTCAATATTAAATGAGTAACTGCATTTGTACTTCGTTCTTTCATACACCTTTGAGTCCGGCGGATGTTTCCTCGTCATTAATCGATGTAACAGAGACAAGACGTGTTTTCTTGGAGGCCGAAACCATATTCATTACATATATACAATACATGAGCTCTGTACTTTAATCGGAATTCTCTTTCTCTGCAGGAAATTTTTTTTGTTGCTAGTGGGGTGGGACTAAGTCCCTTGCACTGCGGCCACTTGTGGCCTATGTACCAGCCCCAGATGATAGGTGAGGGTGATTGTGGAGCAATTGGTGGAATGAAGATTGGCAGGGGAAACCGAAATACTTGAAGAAAACCTGCCCCAGTGCCACTTTGTCCACCACAAATCCCGCTGACCAGACCCGGGATCGACCCCGGGCCGCCGCAGTGGGAAGCCAGCGACTAACCGCTTGAGCTATGGCGCGGCCTCTGTGCAGTAACTTTCTCCGAAATACAAATATGTCCGTTTATCGCAACTTTAAACTTCCAATAAAATAACTGATAGAATCAAACTGCTGATAAATCAATTTAGTTTATTATAATACTACAGAATTTTTCAGAAACATCTCTCGCTTTACCCTTCGAATTTCCATAGCAACTTGCGTGTTTGTGTTAACTGCCCTGTGAAGGGTTAAGCCGTACTCTTCTTTAGATAAAAAACAGCAGCCCCTGTAGAAATTGCAGTTTCTATAACTATGCACCAAGCCATAAATACGTTTTATGGAGCAGAAATGAAGCTCAACGCATTCTTAATTCTCGGAACTAGGTGGCGAGTACTCAGCTTCACGTTTTCGCCGCATTTCCTCCCAGTGACATAGACAAAGCACCAGTTGCACAAATTGTCTCTAGAGTCTGTATGATGTGGTGTGCAGAGAAAAGACTTTTTTGCTACCACCAGTACCGAATTGTTATAATTATGCAAGGATATTTTTTGTATTACTTTCCTATCTGTACCTAGGTCTCACAAGTGGTTTCTTGCCTTCGAAGTTTTTCAGCTAAAACGCTATATGAATTTCTTACCTCTCATACATGTTCAGCCCCTACCATCTGATTCCACTGTCTTTTTTTCGTGTTCGGTCATTTTAAATGCTGTGCTTAGGCCTGTTCCTTGTTACGGACGTTTCGAGAACCAAATCAAAATAAAAACAACGAAATGAATTTTAAACTAATGTAAGCCAAATTTCCATATTGGAATATTTTCCATCCCACACCCATGGCTCAGATACAGAGCTCAAACAGACAAAACTTTAAGAGAAACACAAAATACTCGAAAAGATCAGCTGCGCTTACGCGTACAAGAGTTAAGATTTTCACAGGAGTGAAGACTTGGATTGTGTCTTGTGAGTTTAATCCTGTGTAGTCTATTAGGTAGTTACAAACGTTTCGAAGAAAAATGGTGCTTACATTTTCTGGTAGGAAGTTCTCAAACGACACGAAACATAAACATGTCAACTACAAGTGGTAATGTTATTAAACTTTTGTAATTGGGTACGAGGGGGGAGACAAAATTTAACTCCCATCAGCAACCTGTAAGCAATGAATTTTCCTTGCGCTGGATAACTAAGTCAGCATAGGGCTAGGTTGCGGGAAGACGACGAGGAATTATAAATCTTTGATTTTACTGGCAGACTGTCACCTGGAAATTGTTACCAACTGTAAATATCAATAGTATCTAAAATATTACAACGTATTTTCAGGAAATTAGAGATGTATTTATATGCATATATAATATCATATATAATTCAGATATCTGGGAACGATTATAACAAATGAAAATCTGGTTCAGGAGGAAATTAAGAGGAGACTGAACTCGGGTAATGCTTGCTACTATTCCGACCAGAACCTTTTGTCTTCTCGTCTGCTGTCCAAAAATATAAAAATTACCTAGAATATAAAAACTATAACTTTGCCTGTGGTTCTGTATAGCTGTGAAACTTGGTCTCTGACATTAAGGGAGGAACGTAGACTGAGGGTGTTTGAGAACAGGGTGTTGAGGAGTATATTTGGACAGAAGAGGGATAAAGTGAAAGGAGGTTGGAGAAAACTGCATAATGAGGAGTTTCATAAATTGTACTCTTCTCCAAGTATAATTAGAATGATCAAGTCAAGGAGGATGAGGTGGGCAGGGCATGTAGCACGAATGGGGGAGGGGAAAAATGCATATAGGATATTGGTGGGAAAGCCAGAAGGAAAGAGACCACTGAGAAGATCAAGGCATAGGTGGGTGGACAATATTGATCTTAGGGAGATAAGATGGGATGGGATGGTATGGACTGAATTGTTCTGTCTCAGGATAGGGACCAGTGGAGGGCTCTTGTGAATAGGGCAATGAATTTTTGGGTTCCATAAAATGTTGGGAAATTCTTGAGTAGCTGCAGAATTGGCGGCTCCTCAAGAAGGACTCAGCTCCATGAGTAAGTAAGTAAGTAACATCATGTACTTAGGGCCTCGCCATAGCTCAAGCGGTTGGTCGCGGGCTTCCTACCGCGGCGGCCCGGGTTCGATCCCGGGTCTAGTCAAGTGGGATTTGTGGTGGACAAAGTGGCGCTGGGGCAGGTTTTCTCCGAGTACTTTGGTTTCCCCTGCCAGTCTTCATTCCAACAATTGCTCCACAATCACCCTCACCTATCATCTGGGACTGGTACAATAGGCCAGGAGTGGCCGCAGTACAATGGACTTAGTCCTACCCCACCAGCAATAAAAAAAAATAATCATGTAAGGCAAGTAATTTCTTGATGGTATGAGCAACTACCAGCTTTTAAAGAAGACTGTACTGTACTGTAGTGTACTGTACTGTACTGTACTGTACTGTACTGTACTGTACTATCATAGACTTTCTCATTCGAGTGAAGTCGCAGGTGTGACTTTCTTATTTCTGAAGAGGTAATTTCACAGCTTTGTGTTTAGGAAATGTATGGAGATCCTTATTGCCAGACAGGACCAATTGTACACAAATAACGGCATTTGAAACCAAGACGTACCGAACCCTTTCGGCTTTCTCCCTCATTATGCTCAATCACTGACCCCTCTGTTATTCTTACGACTTCATTTCCTGAGCCCCAACATTAAATGGACGTAGAAGTCCTCTGAAGAATTCTGAGGAGTTTATATTATTTCCGACATGAATCAGTGGCGGAGACAAAATGGGCTGTGTATACTCTTGGCACTGAAGCTTGGCCACCTCTAGGGTAAATATTTTCTTAAGGGTGACATATACACAAATAGCGGAGACAGAAATGGGCTGTGTATACTCTTGGCACTGAAGCTTGGCCACCTCTAGGGTAAATATTTTCTTAAGGGTGACATATACACAAATAGCGGAGACAGAAATGGGCTGTGTATACTCTTGGCACTGAAGCTTGGCCACCTCTAGGGTAAATATTTTCTTAAGGGTGACATATACACAAATAGCGGAGACAGAAATGGGCTGTGTATACTCTTGGCACTGAAGCTTGGCCACCTCTAGGGTAAATATTTTCTTAAGGGTGACATATACACAAATAGCGGAGACAGAAATGGGCTGTGTATACTCTTGGCACTGAAGCTTGGCCACCTCTAGGGTAAATATTTTCTTAAGGGTGACATATACACAAATAGCGGAGACAGAAATGGGCTGTGTATACTCTTGGCACTGAAGCTTGGCCACCTCTAGGGTAAATATTTTCTTAAGGGTGACATATACACAAATAGCGGAGACAGAAATGGGCTGTGTATACTCTTGGCACTGAAGCTTGGCCACCTCTAGGGTAAATATTTTCTTAAGGGTGACATATACACAAATAGCGGAGACAGAAATGGGCTGTGTATACTCTTGGCACTGAAGCTTGGCCACCTCTAGGGTAAATATTTTCTTAAGGGTGACATATACACAAATAGCGGAGACAGAAATGGGCTGTGTATACTCTTGGCAC